AGTTTTATAAAGCGACTCTCGAGTTTTATAAAACGATTCTCGGGCTTTATAAAACGATTCTCGAGCTTTATAAAACGATTTCTCGAGTTTTATAAAACGATTTCTCGAGTTTTATAGAATGATTCTCGAACTTTATAAAACGATTTCTCGAGTTTTATAAAGCGATTCTCGAGCTTTATAAAACTGTTCTTTTTGTATTCTTGCGGAAAGTTTTGGCTATTAATTCCGTCGTACCGATTTTGACCCCAACAATTATTGTGTAAGAGAATCCGAACCCCCCCCCCTCCTTCTAGCGCCAAACTGTGGGAACCGAAATTAACACCGTCGATTTTCCGTCAAATATGGAAACTTAAGGAAAACCCTAATTTTCCTGAGGTCCTGGATCTCTGCGGAAATCACTAAAACGAACAGAGTTAACAGAATATGGATGCATAACAATAACGAAGAACAGAGAACAAAAAAATAATTTGCGTGAGAGATTTTTATTGAATAAGATATTGACAACTGTTACAAAGAGAATTGCAGAGCTTAGACGCCCAAGTCCTAATTTCCGGCTTGCTAGTCTAAACGCCCAAGTCCTAATTTCCTAAGCTAACAGCCGCCTCTCTATGTCTAATTTTTGTGTCCCTGCTTTTGCCCTATGCCTCTTGCTTATATACTCCCTTCCTTGGCGGTTTGATCCTTCCATTTCGCCCAGATTCGAGTTTAACGAGAATCTTTCTTTTGTGTTTATCTTTCTTTTTTCCCGCAGAAATCTTCCATTTATCTTCAATCTTCAAATTTATCTTCAAACTTGACATTTATCTTCCTTCTGCGGGTAAATCGTCAAAACTTTATCGTATCTTTGGGCTAGTTTTCGTTAAGATCGAGAGATAAGCTTTTTATCGCGTTTTAGGCCTTTCCGAGCCGTTTTACGATAAATCCGTTTTGCGACATTGTACGAGATCGTTTCCTGATCCGATGCCGTTTTTAGTAAATTCCCCGAGTTAATCGTAAAGTTTAGCTATGTTCATGTTCTGTCCTTTTCGAGAAACTCCAGGCATTTCCGAGTCCCCAAGGCTTGACTCCAGAGACCTCTCGCGTCTTCATACGCGTCCAGTTTGGCATCACGAGATTTGAACCGCTCAAAGTGAGCGTTCGCCTTCTTGGCCATCTCCGCTTAAGTCCTCGCTCGTTCACGGGTGACCTCGAGAACCCGACTCCTCCTCAGATGAGAAACTTCGTAACCCGTGTCCTTCCTGATCTTGGCCATGTTCTACTCGATTCTAGCCTTCTCTTTCACAAGTTCGGTGGATGTAGCTTTCACGACTTCCAGCTCCTTCGAAATCTCTTTGAGTTCCTTCGCCTTGGCGTCAGCTCGGAGAGTAACTTCGGCTCTTATGGCTTCCGAGTCCGCGAGCGAGTCCTTCAGAGCCACTATACTTTTCTGCTCGGTGTCGATCTTATCTTGAGTCTCTCCAAGAGTGACATACGTTTCCCTTAGCTCGGCATCATACTTCTCAACCAAAGCATTTATCCCATCATCCACCTACAGATGAACACTTTGGACGTAAATATGGCAAGATAAAGCCTTAACACAAAAAAAGAAGGAACAAAGAAATAACTTGCCGCGCCCTGCTCGAGCATCAGGAAGGGACGCGCCCTGCTCGAACAGAGGATTTTCGTCTGTCGGGATCTCCACGGCGAGCTCCCGACCTTCTACTACTTCCTCCTCAGGAAGACCCCTAGCATCCTTGCGATCATGGGAGCTCGGGGCATCCTTAGATGCAGACCCATCCTCAACTGATTTGGACTTCTTCTTTCTCCTCCTTTTCTTAGTCGGAGAACCCGCAGGAGGATCATCGCTGGCTACTTCAAGATCAGCGACCTGATCTTCTGCTTCCTCGACCCGTGGCCTTTTTGGGCCTCCAATCAAGAGACATGTTATGTCAGCTGCGTTGCTTCCAGCAGAAGGAGGAATTGGGTCGCCAGACGGTGTTCCTCCCCCAAGATCGAAGTTATCGATCAACCCCATCAACGCACTGCCTTGCGAAGCGCCGCTTTGCTTTTCCTGGATAACTTGAGAGAGATCTGGGAGTTCTTTAATCGCAAGCGCCTGTTTAATGACTTTCTGCTCTGCTTTCGAAAAAAGATTTGTTCTTTTCCTCCCGGGTTTGGCCTCGTACCGGAACACTCTATCGTAATCACCTGCACGAGCAACGGCTTGAGTAAAAATATTGCACAAGGGACAAGGGGTAAGACCAAATGTATTCCTTCTTACCCTGATTGATGCGATCTATCGCGCGTTGGATCCTTTCCTCGCTTATGTCGGGCCACTTTCGATGGCCTAGCTCAACCAAAGCTCGAGCGTCGGAGAGAAATGATGGTGGAACAGAGGCATCGATCAAGTAGAAGTTGGGATGAGGATCTGCACAAGAGAAAGAGACATATCAAATTAAATGCACATAAGTGTTTATCGAGGCGAGCTAACTACCGGCACACCGTTCCAGTAAGTCTGGAACTCGTTATCCGGAGGGTCGATAAAGGCGTACTGATCCGATTTAACGAAGAAGTAGCGACGTTGCCGGTGTGGAGTCTTGTCTAGATTACCGGTAATGACGTTGTAGTTCTGCCTCATCCTAAGAGAAAAAAGTCCGTGAACAAGACGAGATATCGCTGTTAATTGCTCAAACGAGTAAACACACAAGCTTATTCCGATTTCGGATGCCATGACCATAAGTGCTACCATGATGCGGAACGACCCGTTCCCCATCTGGCTGATCGCCACCTCGCGACGAGCAACGTAAGAGGTTAGCAGGCGGGGAATCAGAAACCAAAGTCTGGTGTGATCTCCAAAGTAGGATTCATACACGCACTGATAACCGACTGGTGGCGACCACGGGCGCTGTTCGGAGGTCGGAATCAGATAGGTAACTCCAAACGCCTTCCGAGCTATAAGCAGATTTTCGACGGTCTCCACAGTCGACTCCGTCCCGGACGTGTTTGGCCAGTCTTGACCAGTGATTTTTGCGGGGCGCAGCAACTCCCGCGGGACTGCAGGCTCCCTCTCGAAGGTCCCGTTCCCCGCTTAGCGAGTCAGAGCCGGGGGAAGTTTCTCACTCCTCACTCGCTACGCGTTATCCGATACGTACCAGACAAATGTCGGTCGAACATGATCTGTCGGTTGAGATCGGTTGGAGCTCGTTCGATGAGATCTATTAGAATTTCCTCGTCGAGGTCGGTTAGAGCTCACCCTCGAGGACCTAAGCGGTGGTGAACGAGGATGCTCGATTCGAGGATCACCCATCATCTGTGCAATGGTGTTCCCTACGCCATCGACCTTGAGCTCTCTCTCGGTATCAACAATCAGGAGTCGCTGGGAAAGACTAAGACCGTCTACATCCATCAATGCATTCCTATGTTCTAAACTAAAATCCTCTAGAGGTTCGTTAGTCGTCTCGTCCCTAGCCGGACTCGACGAAGTCCCAATATCCTTCCCTTTTTCCTCGCGCGTTAACCTCGCTCGTGGACACATCTCACCTATAACGAACGTATATATCGTACAACTTAGAGAGAGAAAGTAGAAAGAAGGGAGAGAGGAAATACCTGCGAAAACGGAGAAGTGAGGAGAATGAGAAGCAAAGTATTTATAGACAAAGAAAGGGGCGCGACTCTCGGAGTCATTAATTAGGTCTAGTAGGGCCTAAATGGGCCTCTACTCTACTCGCGACTGTTCATATTCCAACCTAAATGGGCCTCATCTGCTAAAGATCGTCCACCTTCCCTCGATTCTTCACACTCCTTCCCGCGTGAAAAGACAAGTTAAGAATCATCCGAGCTAACGACTCAGCAAATATACCAAAGTCGTACCCCGAGCTGATTTCTTTGCGAACACGTTAAGGCCGTCCTCCGAGCTGACGACTTTACGAACACGTTAGCGAATATATTGGAGGCGTCCTCCGAGCTAACAATTCAACAAGCTATCGCCTGCGGAAGCATCAGAACGCATCAACCGATCCCATTACTCAACGGACCAGATAGACAAGATCCGTCCCGACTCGAGTCAGACTCGGCAACAAATCTGGGGGAGTTACTGTTGGTGGTGGAATACTCCTCCTTGCAAGGCCTGTCGAGAAATGGGCCTGGCCCGTGCGAGCTCCAGCCCAACGAGGCGATATTTCATTGATTAACTGCTAATCAGGTTTAACTCGGATAATCCCCGCGATTACACGAGTTAACGATACTCAAGGAAGGAACTCGCCTTAACGGGCCATCAGGCGAAAGGCCTCCTACGCATGCACCCAGCTCGCTAGGTCAAAAGGACGCTATAAAAAGGGATGAGGGTAACAAGCAAGGCATCAGAGATCACCTTTACTCACAAGGCGGCTAGTACTAGGATTTTCTTTCTTGTACTTTCTTTCCGACTTGTACGGATCGGCTGAGCTCCCCGCGAGACTCCGCCTGCCTCTCCTCATTTGTAACCGAACTCTTTCGTCAATAAAACTACTCTTCGACTCTAAATAGTAAATAACGCCTTTGAAATCCCACAGACGAGTCCAGACACTCATTCACTGAAAAAGACCAAACTCGGTTCAAACATCCGTGACCACTGAAATTCCTCTAAAGATAATCACGCCCATTATGAAAGAGTTAGGGCTTTTACGGTCACGTAAAAACCAGTACCGCACATTAGCATATATTATAATGGAGTTTGTGGACAATGTTTACCTCAATATCTTTTTACTCTCACAATGAAAATTAGGGTTTTGTAGAAATTTCTAGGATTTGTTGCTCTGATGCATGTCATAATTAACGTTTACTTTCATTTTGAGACATTTTTACCTAATGATATTTTCATGTGCTATGGTTCCAAAAGCAACCACATATATATACGTTCGTTGGTTTAACGTTGTTTATCTAAATATATATATAGATCAAAGGAAGATGTCAACAACAATGAGCATTTAAGAAAAACGGTTCAAACTTTTCCTTACCTTCCTTCATACCTTTTGGAATTGATAATGTCATATCTTTTGTTTAAAGATAACATCCGTGCATCTGCTGTCTGCAAGGCATGGCGTAAAGCCGCTGAGTATGTTCGGGTTGTTGAAAAGCATCCATGGGTTATCTCCATTTCTTACTGTGGTAACTTGATTGATTTCTTCGATCCTTTACAGTGGAAAAAGTACACACTGAATCTGCCCGAGATAGCTGAAAGCTTTGTTAGTTATTCGAAAAATGGCTGGTTACTTATGCGCAGAAAAAGCTTTGTGGACTTGTTCTTCTTCAATCCGTACACTCGGGAGATCATAAAATTGCCAAAGTATAACTTGTTACTTCAGAAGATTGCTTTCTCTTCTGCCCGTACATCGGATACTTGTGTGTCCGTGACGTTAAACTTTTCAGTGAGATATTGATTGGCCATCAGCATTTGCTATCCTGGAGCAACTGAGTGGATAAATATGGAATTTCCTTTCTCCCTTGGGCCTTGAGTTTGACCCCTTTACCCTTAGCAACATCGTCTATGCCAATGGTCACTTTTTTTATTTTGCCGAAGGAATTTTATTTGACTTTGATCCAGCTTCCCGCACACTAAATCATCAAGCCTGGGACGAATATAGACGCCCTCATAAGGATAATGATGAATCGTCGTATCTACCAAAGATTATTTACTTGATGCAGCAGAAAGGAGGAGATAAGTAATGATATACTTGACGGCTTAACAATCTTTGTGAGTCGCTACTCCTCTGAGACGAGAATGGATGTTTTAGGGATGAGGAACAGCGTGTATTTAGCGAAGTATATTGTTCATCCAGCATGTAGTGTGAATTTTACTCGTTTCGTAAAGGCAGGCAGTATTCGGGTCAGCTTCTAAAACCATTAATAGTATCACAAGTCCTGGATGAACCAAGCTTTGTTGAGAGTCTTTGGATCGAGCCACCACCGTTCAAGGATGTTTTAGATTCTAAGCTAAGGAAAGGGAAGCAAAGGTAATTATTGCAATTTGAGGTTTTGTTATAGTTTTATATATGTATTGATCACTGCATGTCCAAAACTTAAAGACTAGCCTTTCAAACTTTGACATTCGGAGATGCAAAATTTTAGCATTGTGATTCAAATTTGAAATTATCTGATTATTTCCATATGTTAATTAATTTTCAGACAATTCACATTCTTTATATAAAGCTTCTCAAGGTCTTCTCTGAAATTTAAAAGTTGTGTTATCATGCATAGAATAATAACAAGTTCACTAGTAAAAAATAAAGAATTTAACAAGTTCTAATATAAAAAGTAAAGTACATATAGTTGTCCATCGGCAGGAACCAAGTCCATTTAGAACATATCTATACTCCCATTGTAAATTATGTTCCAATTTTCATACTAGAAGAAATATTTTCTACTGAATTTGCAACTCTAAAATATAATAATCTCTATTACTTTTATAGGTTTTCTCAGTTTCCTATTAAAAACATTTAGATGCATCCTTAATAATCTTTTATAGGGTTTCACCAATACATTTGGGTCATCTATAGCTTAATATGATATGAGAATCAAAGTGTATATCTTATCCTTGTAGATTCGATTGTACGTTTTACTATTGCATAGTCTTGTAAACATGATTTTACTGAATCTTGTGATCTTTAACATCTAGACTAATTATATAATAGAATTATAAGAAGGATTAGTTGAACACCTCACTTCAACATTGCTGAAATCTTCTTGAATGGTTTGATCATGGAAGATGATCTCTTGATCTTTAAGTTAGAAATTAGGACTTTTCTCCTCTTACCTACAACTTTTCTCTATGTGTTTCTTTAGGTTTTTCTCCATATTTTTTTTTGTGATGACCCAATAACAATTATTTATAGGTGGGGAGATGGACCAAAAACTTTCTCACCAATTTTTATGACTTCATTGACAAGTTTCTTCTCTAATCTCAACCATCTATCAAGGTTAAGTAATGATAAATATTTAGACGTCTAGAATCATTCTTTCATACAATAAATTTGTTCTCCTTTGATGCATTGAATTTACTTCAAATGCTTTCATGTAATTTGGTGAAGACTTGGACTTCAAACTGTCTGGACCAAAATCGTGTATCTACGTTTAAAACCCATCGATCGATGTTACAAAGCGTGCATCGATCGATTGTGATCTTTTTATGTTGACCTCTCGGCCTGCTCGATGATCAACTCGAGTGAAACTCCTTTTGTCTCCAAAAAGATTCCAAAATCTTCACTTTCTTTCAAATCACTCCTAAACCTATAAGTATGCTATATAGAATCTAATATATAATAATTAGATATTAAAACATTGATATACCATGGCAGAAAGTGGTTAAAATTCATGGTATATCACTCGCCATCGGGCGATTTGGACGGCTGGTCCAACTCAGATGCGTCATGAGTCAGATGGTAAGTCGGTCGTTGTGTATCCAACTGCTTGTTGTGGTTTGCTTGTGTTTCGATTGTTCGATCTTGTGATTTCGGAAGTACTTGTTCGATTTTCTTTAAGTCCAAGGTTTTTTTTAATTGTTTCGTGCTTCGCTACGAGTTTTTTATAACTTCGTGTCTTCGCAGAGTTTTTCTGATACTTTTTTCGGAGGCTTTTAGTCACTGATTTCGTCGTAACCGATTTTGACCCCAACACTAGTCTGACTCATCTGTCTACTGACCTCATTTCTTCCATAAAAATAAAGGTGAAGAATTTACCTTGAGAGTATCGATTAAGGGACACTTGGACTCAACTCCTGCAATTCTGAGCACACCTGTATAAAGTCTTCTCTGGTCCCTTTCTTCTCTCGTTTCTCTATTCTCTGGATCTTTTTCTTTTTCTTTTTCTTTTTCTTTTTCTTTTTCTTTTTCAATTTTTCTTTTCTTTTCTCTTTTTCTTTTTCTTTTCTTTTTGGGCAAAGTTGTCGACGAATAGTAGGGTCATCGGTAATGTTCTTACCCTTCACTTTCAACAATGTGTGATCATTTCTTTGAATTAGAATAGTGGAGGTCATCGGTAATGTACCTACCGCTCTACATCTCATGAAATTATTTCAATCTTTTATTTTATAGATGATGAAGAGAGAGAGAAAAAGAGAATAAGAAACACACGGACTAGTACCTTCCTGAGTTCCATAAGGAATCCGATTCAATGTATATCAAGCCCAAAGCTACCAGATAATGTCAAAATTAAGTTAGAAGTCGGCTTCAGTACCTCTCAAACTTTCTAAGAAAGTATAGTCTAATGGCGGGATGATTCACTTTCGTATCTTTAGTAATCTCTGCAATCAACTATTCTAAGAATGGTGCTATAGTGTGATTAGTCAATAGATGAAAGCATGATCATAATCCCCTTATCGACTCAATGAAAACTTTGAATAACTTATAGATATAACAGATAAATGCTCAAAAAAGAATCAGAGAACCCCCTCCCCCCTGACTTAAATAACACTCTCCCCAGTGTTATCCCGTTCTGGTTTGGTTAGGAAAAACAAATCATGTAAAAGTTGTAGAGAAAGTCGAGTATACCCAACTTCCAAAGGAGTGTAGATTGATGGTATTATTGTGGGAACCAAAATTTGCACTGTCGTTTTCCGATGAACCCTAATTTTCAGAGGTCCCGGATTCTCTGCAAGAGCCAACGACAAGTGACCAAATTGATGCGCAAAGTATGAAAAGATAACAAAAAAAAATTATAGAGAAAGTATATCTCATTTTGAATCCGCCTTTGAGCGTTGCGATCATTACTAAAGGATAGATAAGCTTTGGCCGAAAGAGCTGTCGGAGAATTATGTAGCTCTAGAAACCTAAAACCTTAAACCTAGTGTAGCCGATGCTCGATAAAAAAAAAGACAAAAAATGAAAAAAAGTTTTGATTGATTTCGGACTGAACCTTATGAAATTCTCCCTACGTACCCCTTTCGAGGAACAAGCCGAACGTAGTTCAATTAATAGAGTTGGACAAGAGATTAAACCGCCTGTGTGAGTTCGTCGAGTAATTGAGTTCCAGTTATAGAAACCAAACTTGTTGAGAAAAAAAGTCTAACGTTTGTAAGTGTAGAGAGTTGTAAAAAAGTCTAAAAACGATTATTCCTCTGCCCATCCTCAACCTGAATATTGTTGGGGTCAAAATCGGTCACGGTGGAATCAATGGCTAAAAGTTCTGGAAAAAGCATACAAGAAACTATAGACTTTCTATGAAGATACGACGTTACGGAAAACTAGTAACAAAGTATGAAATAATCAAAAAAGACCTCCTTGCTTGTTTGGGTCAAAATCGGTTACGACGGAACCAGCGACCAAAAATTCCCGCAAAAGTTAAGAATAAAGATTTAAACATGAAAAAGTGTCGAGAAGAAATCTAAGGATTCTCCAAACAAAGCAACTCCTTAAAACTCTGTTGAGGTCAAAATCGGTACGACGGAATCAATAGCCAAAACTCCCCGCGAAAATACAAAAGGAATAGTTTTATAAAACCTGAGGAGTCGTTTTATAAAACTCGAAGTCATTTATAAAACTCGCAGACCGTTTTATAAAACTCGAATATCGTTTTATAAAACTCGAAGATCGTTTTATAAAACTCGAAGATCGTTTTATAAAACTCGAAGATCGTTTTATAAAACTCGAAGGTCGTTTTATAAACCTCGAAGCCATTTTTTTATAAAACTCAAATATCGTTATATAAAAATCGAGAAGCCGTTTTATAAAACTCGAAGATCGTTTAATAAAACTTAAAGATCGTTTTATAAAACGTTTATAAAACTCGCGAAGCCGTTTTATAAAACTCGAAGATCGTTTTATAAAAACTCGAAGATCGTTTTATAAAACTCGAGAAGCCGTTTTATAAAAACTCGAAGATCGTTTTATAAAACTCGAGAAGCCATTTTATAAAACTTGTAGCATCGTTTTATAAAACCCGAAGATCGTTTTATAAAACTCGAGAATCGTTTTATGATACTGCAAAAAACCGAAACAGCCGTAAAACGCGAACTAGTCGTAACTAGTTCGCCGATGGGCGAACTAGGAGGCCCATGACTAGTTCGCCCACCGGTAAACTGAGGCAGCTTGTCTTAGTTCGCCGGTGGTCAAACTAGTCCATCTCGACTAGTTCGCCCACCGGCAAACAAAGCCAAGCTGGCTTAGTTCGCCGGTGGGCGAACTAGTCCCGTACCGACTAGTTCGCCCACCGGCGAACTAGTCCCGTCCAGACTAGTTCGCTTACGGGCAAACTAAGCCAGCTCGGCTTAGTTCGCCGGTGGGCGAACTAGTCCCGTCCCGACTAGTTCGCCCACGGACGAACTAAGCCAGCTCGGCTTAGTTCGCCGTGGGACGAACTAGAGACTTCCTGGACGTCCCGAGCCTCGATCTCCCGCATCCCCGATTCGAAACTTACGTCTTTCAACACGGTGGTGTTCTGAACCACGGCCGAAACATCTCCCGTTCCATCTCGATCCGACCTATCGTTCGAGTTTTACGATAAAAACCGTAAAACTTCGCTTTCTCGACAAAGAACTCGAGGAAATCGTATAAAACGGCAACGGTTAAAAAAAAACACCGAACATTGCCTAAACTATACGATTTATTCGAGATTTCTCGTTAAAATCGTAAAAAAACGTGTTTTTAATAAAAAGGTCGAGTAAATCGTAAAAAGCGCGTTTTTAATAAAAAGGTCGAGTAAATCGTAAAACCTTACGATTAGCTCGAGGAATTTACTAAAAAAGGCATCAGATCAGGAAACGATCCCGTACAAAGTCGGAAAACGGATTTATCGCATAACGGCCTGGAAGGTCCTAAAATGCGATAAAAACCCATCTTGCGATCTTAACGGAATCTAACCCGAAGATACAATAACGTTTTGACGGTTTACTCGCAGAAGGAAACT